ACATCGCATAATGATCGCAGCGATATCGCAGAGATATCGATCTAATCAATGTCGATTAAATACAGTTACGACTAACTTAACGACGTCGAATCTATTTTTTATCAAAATATCGTAATGATATCGTAATGATATCATTGCGATATCTAATCAATATCGATTGTAAACTCCAAGTTTCAGCAAAGTATTTATATAATATTGTTATTTGTTATTTTATATTTATTAGTGCAGATTATTAACATCTTATATTTTTTAAAATCATGATATAACTGGTAATAGTGTTAATAATCAAAAGAAGGAAAAACTTGGAAATGTTAAAGATTATCATGATTTTTGTTAAATATATTTGAAATTGCTTTTAGATTCAGTTTTAAAAGAATATATTATGGAAGTGTAAAAAATTATTCTTTACTTGGTTACAAAATCTTATCAACATATAATTATACTTAAAGATGGTACTCATTTTTGTATATATTTATTATTTGTTTCACATGACATTGTTAATTTACTGCCATTTTTTTAAGTTGATGGTAGAAAATTAAAATGCATTATTATTTATTACATGTTATACTAATACCGATAAGATGGTTATAAGACAGAATATGGGAATGGGAAAATGTTGATTCTATATACAATGAACTTTTTATTAATGCATGTATTCAAAAGTCTCAAAATAATAATGTGTTAAAATTTATTCCTAGACATTACAATAATATTCAAGAAATTTAGGTTTGAAATTATATACAAAAAAAAATGGAATATGGTCATATCATGAGTTATTTTAAGAAAGCATTAAATTATTCATTAGAAAATGATGATTAAGAGGATTTAGATAAGATAATCTTGGCTTATATTGCTGATAAGGAAGCAAAACATGAAGCTGATACTCAATTAACAAATACTGATTCAAATAATGTTGTAAAATTATCCAATAAACATGTTTATAATATTGATGATATTAAAGATCCATTAGTACACCATGGTAAAGGGTGGCCTCCTAACAAATGACTAAAAGCTTTTAATGAAGAAAATAAAGTGGATGTTAAAAGGAAACGTATTAATGTTAGTTGTGAAAAAGGAGATATTGAAGTAAATGGTAATACTGGAGGACATAAATGTGGTATATGTCATAAAATGGGACATTATGCTCCTAAATGTCCTAGTAAGGAAAATTATAGATAATGTATAGTGATAATGTATAAATAACATATAGATAATCTTGTATAAAAATTCGTATTATCGTAAAATCACGTGATTTTATAAAGGCGACGTCAGGGACGATGATTTTTTGTGGCGGTATAAAGTAAATTTTGTGTGTGATAAAAGTAAATTTTGTGAAATTTTGTGATTTGGCCAGAATTATGCAAGGTTGGCCAACATTACGATTCGTAAATTCTGGCCAAATTTAGTGTCTGCCGGAATTATAATAATTTCAAATCCTAAATCAGGCCAAAAACTTGAAAATTATCAACATTTTATAGCCAAATTTTGTGATTTTCTGTGAAATTCTGTGATCACAAAAAATCATCGTCCCTGGGCGACGTATATTATTTATCGCCCAGGCGACGAATAATTTTTTTCATAATAAAAATATGTAAAACATGATTTAACTTTAGACCATAATTTCTAATATTAGCTTTACTAATTCTGGAATATATTATTATATATTAGAATTATTAGTAATAAAGTAAAATATATTTTTTAATTTTTAAGAATTAATTTTATTGATTTTTTACATTATATATTATATTTTAATTGGCACTTTTTTTATAGTATGTACTAACCACAAAGCAGTCGATAATAGTGTTAAACTACCAGCTTGATGAGCAGATGCTAAAGGAATAGGTACCATATAAATCAAAGTACTAATTCCTAAAGTAACTTGCAACACTGCTATTCCAAGTAAATAATTCGCAGCAAGTTTAGTTTTTGATGGCAAAGGAATTTTTCTTGAATACAGCCATAATGCTATAATTATACTAAGTGTAGTTACAGCCTAGATCATAAGAAATTAATTGGTTATAAACTATTATACAATAATAAAATATTATATTATTTTTAAAACATATGTATTTAATATATTAACATACCAGAACTCTATGATCAAATTGTACAGTCGTCGGATTATCAAAAAAATTTCTCCATAAGCTAATATCGCCGGCTTTTGCATATGTTTTTGAAAATAACTCTGATTTTGGTGGAACAATTCCCTGTCCCATATATGGAAATTCATTATATATCAACCCTGCATCTAATCCGGCAACCAATGCACCTAAATCAAAGAATAAATAAATTTTATAAACAATTGGAAACAAATATTAAATTAAAATTACCAGACATGGAAGTTAAGAACACCAATGCAGTCATGCCAATAGCGGATCGGCGAAAAGTATTAATAGCTGGATTCGCCAATGCTTTAGCAACAGTCTGTTGAAAAAAATTAGTGAATAATATTATTTCAAGAAAAATTATTTTAAATATGCATGATACTTGCCTTTGGAAAGGTACCATTTGCAATCTTTGCATCTCGCAAAACCTGTAGTCCAGTTAAAAGCATACCCATATAAAGCAAGAATGCACTTCCCAAGTGCGCAGCCAATCGGTAATGACTGACACGTGGAACTGCATTTGGTATTGCCATTGATTCTTCAGACAATCCGGATTTGACCATGTACCATCCTAGCACTCCCTACAAATAAATTATGTTTATCAAAATTAATGAAATGACAATGTAAGGGAAAATGACATTACCTGGAATCCGAGTAATCCAGCAAGTCCAATGACTTTATTTAGCGTTGCTTTAGTCATGTAACCACGAAATCCGAAATATGTTGCTGGGATAATGAATGCCAATCCGATAGCACGTCCCCAAATTCGATGAGCCCATTCCATGAAATAAATATACTTAAATTCTGGTAATGTCATGTTATAATTTAATCTACGATAAAGGGAACAAAACATTAAGCTATAAAGAATAAATTTCTATTACATTTATTAAAGAAACTTACCTACAATTTATACTCTGGAAATTGTTTGTATTTTTCAAATTCTTCTTCCCAACGAGCATTATTTAAAGGAGGGATTATGCCAGTAATTGGTTTCCATTCAACAATTGACAGTCCACTTTCAGTTAATCTAGTAAGACCTCCTAATACAACAATACCAAAAACCAATCCTGCAGTTCCAAGTAACCAATATCCAACAGTAGGTTTGGTAAATTTAGTTGCTGTAGTAACAGCGAGGATTGATGATTGCGATGTCAAATTTACGGAATTTCTTCCTGACAAGCCATTTCTTAAAACTGGTGGAATAAATGATTTTGATAATGGTCTATGTTTAGGTAATAAAAAGTTTGAGTTTAAAGAAGCATGAAAGTGTTGAGACGTAAAAAAATACAATGTATTTTTCGAAGTAATTTTTGTTCGAAATCTTTTTCGAGTCATACAAACAATACTTTGAGAACGTCCTGAAAACGAACAGAAAACTTTATTAGAAAACATATTCGTTAAAAAAGTTCAAAGTATTGATGGGTAACATCGATCAATTTTTGATTTGACGATCAGATGATAATCTTTCCTATTTAAATAAGATATGCACCTAAGCTTCTCTTTCTAATGAATAAACTTGCTTCTAAATTCATGTCCACTATGGCTAAATTTAATCCCAAAATTGACCCTAAGACTACGGCTATTCTCCTCTGTGATATTCAAGAAAAATTTAGACCGCATGTTTATGAGTTTACCAGTGTAATATCAACCGCTAAAAAAATGGCCGAAGCAGCAAAACTTTTGGATATTGATGTAATCGTCACTGAACAGGTTTGTTCATTATTTTAATTTTAAATACGAAATTGAAATACTTATTTATTAATCTAATTAATTAATTTAATTAATATTTAAGAGTCCAAAAGGTATGAAAATTAAATTAATTCTAATAAACTTAGAAAATTAAATTAGTAATTATATTGTTTTATTTATAGCTCTTGGAAAAACAGTTGGTGAGATTGATACTAGTGGTTTCAAACCACCCGTAGAAAAAACAAAATTTTCAATGTATACCGAAGGAACGAAAGATGTCTTGGATGATAAAAGTTCTGTCGTACTTTTGGGAATTGAGGTATTTCGTCATTTATAAAAGTATTTTATTTATTAGCTAATTTACAATTATTTTCTTTTAAGGCTCATGTGTGTGTGTTACAAACAGCATTAGAATTATTGGGGAAAGATAAAGTTGTTTACGTGTTGCAAGATGGTATCTCTTCTATTAACGCGCCAGAAATCGATATTGCATTGCATGTGAGGAAGAATGTTACAATTCTTTATTTATTTTTTAAATTATCTAAATTGTTTTTTTGTCTTTTTTTAGCGTATGAATCATGCAGGAGCCGCAGTTACGACGTCAGAATCAGTTTTGTTTCAATTGTTAGGTGACGCTAAGGATGATAAATTCAAAAGTATTTCAAATTTAGTAAAAGAATATAAAGAAGCCACTAAAAGCAATAAATTGCTTTATAGAGCAAGTATGTATAAACTTTTTATGTTATTTGAATTTTAATGAATTCTAATATTTTATCTCCATTTTATAAATAGGATCCCATTATTAATTTAATTTTGATTGTTATGACTTGTGATTTGTATTTAAACCAATAAAATCATGATATTTTGGCATTCCTATTACCCGCAAATTATAAATTGGTGCCTTAATACCGTTACAAATTTCCTATCATACTATCATATGAATTTTAGCCTTTCTCTTATGTAACCAAAAACAGTGCACGTGCAATATATTTTAATATATTTGGATATTCTATAACACAATACAAATATTGTTCCCAAACAAATATAGGTTAAAATTATTTATTTTAGTGTTTAAAAATTTCCGTAGTCTGAAAAAATTCCCCCCAAAAAGGCTTCCATTAAGTACGACTACCTTATTTAGCAATTAAGTAATACAACTATATTATTGATATGCAGTTACCCCAGCAAAATTTTGATTTTCAAAATAAGATCAGCCATGATATTAAGCAATATAAAAGACGTTTTCTCCGTTTTCTCCGTTTTCTCCTGCCCAAGGTCGAAAAATTCCATTTTTGCGCGTTTTCCAATTTTCTTTGTGAAAAATTTCGATCTTTTCTTTTTTAAATATTTAATCATCTGCAATGGGAGAAAATCAGCCACTCTTATTTGAATCATTTTTTAATTCTATTTCATTACCAAAATTAACGTATCATTGGCATGTGTTGTTGTTATCTACATTTACATGTAATGTAACGGTTGTATTTTCCCGTTTAATTTCATCATATCTTTTTCCAAAAACATATAATAATTTACAAGGCCTTAAAAAACTTAATTGGGACATACATTTTGTTAGTATGGTTCATTGTTTATTAATCGTACTATTATCTATACCTATTTTTTGGGATGAAGAATTAATTAAAGACAAAGTTTTTGGTTATGATAATTATGCTGGAAATGTTTATTCTATCGCTTGTGGGTAAGTTAGAAAAGTAAAATTCCATGAAGGATTATTTGGTTTAAAAAATCGGACTTAATTGTTATTTATTTTAGATATTTTCTCTGGGATGCACTTGTGTCTCTTTATCATGTAAGAGAATTCGGAATTGGGTTTGTATTACATGGAACATGTTGTTTTGGCGTCTTCTTGTTTGCTTATGTAAGTACAATTATATAGTTTACTTTTATATGATTTACATACTTAATTGTATTTATTTAATTTTAAAAGCGACCATTTTTGAATTATTATGGAGCGGTATTTTTAATGTTTGAAATTTCAACTCCATTTCTAAATATACATTGGTTTATGGTATGAAAATTACATAGTATCTGTTATACACGTATACATATATACATATAATTAATTTATCTTTATTTAGGATAAACTGGGATTGACAGGGACATTACCACAATTAATTAATGGAGTATGTTTATTAACATCGTTTTTCTGTGCTAGAATTATATTTGGATTTTACATGTCTTATCACACATTTCGTAAGTTTATCCTTCTTGAAATTTTCTCAATTTCTATTTTTAAAGGAAATTTTTAATTTCTTTTTTTTTTACAGAATCAGTTTTGCAAGTGATCGATCAAATACCATTATTTTTATGTGTAGTTTATGGAACAGCAAATATTATATTAAATTGTTTAAATGTATACTGGTTTGTTAAGATGATTGAAGCTTTATTAAAAAGATTTGACAAAACTGGTGAAAAGAAACATCACAAACATCATCATCATAATGATGGTAAATCTATTAAATCTGATGGGAAAACAAAGAAATTATAATTATATATATTTTTTTATTTTTTCATACATATCTGCATATTAATAAATAAATAATTTCATACAATAAATATATGGCCAGTATACATAGTACTTGAAATCTGATTTTATACTATTACTATTACCGTAAAGTTCCGAATATAAGCACCCCGAAATAAGAATTACGGCAATTTGGCCCTTAACCTACATTAATGATTAGCTCGACTGGCATTATGTGCACTTTATATATTATAATTGGATTTTAATCCAATTTTCAAGTAAATATTTTCAATAGTTAATCACCGGGGGGTGATCATTAGCGTTGGCCAGAATTATCAATTTTTACCGGCTTTTAATGCTGGTCGATCGTCATAATTTCAGTCACCAGTGATCATCATCCCCAGTGATAGTTAGAAAAATTCTTTTCAATAATTATATCCATAGTTTTCTCTAAACTTTTCTATCCATTATTATTAATAATAATGTTATGTTTTATATTTTCATGTTTTTCTGTAAATATATTATTTTCATAGAAATTTTCATCTCTTTAATATAGAAATCCAGAAATATAGAATTTTTACAAAAGCTATAGAGGAATAATGGAAATATTTAAATAAAAATTTTTTATAAATAGCTTTATATTTTAATACTATCAGTCAATGGAAATGTCACACCTACTATAATTACTAATAAATTATGATTTTTAATTTTTTATATAAAATAATTTTTCTTAAATTGTATATTATAAAATTTAATATATTTTTATTCTTTAAGCTTTATTTTACTTATTTAAATACTTTTTTTTTAATACAATACTTATATAAAAAATTTATATTAAGCTAACTTTTATAATTTCAACCTACTGATTGAACTTATTAGTAAAATATAAGTATTACTTTTAAATGCATAAATATATGTAAATTTTTATGGGGAATTAGAAAACATATTGGATAAAAAGCAAGTTTCTTAATAAATTTTATGATAAATCTAAAATTTATGATTTTGCAAAAATTAACCAATACAGTACACCCTTACTATAGTGAATTTTTTTATAGCGAATAACTTACTATAATGAAGAAAAGTATAGGTACATATTTTTTAATAATTAAAAATTCTTATTATACCAAATTTTAAAGTAAAAATTCTTTAACTCATAATACAAATTTAAATGTTAAGACAATTATAATAAAATGACCCTTCATATAGCAAAGAATTTTACTATACCAAATTTTTAAAATATTACACAATAATTTAGTGAATTTTTGATCACATGAAATTTTATTTGAACAATTTGAACAATTCAAATTTGCCTTTAAAGGTTAGAATTTTTGTGATTAAAGTTAAAAAGAAAAATTATTATAATTGGTAGAGTATAAGAGCAATCTTAATGATGGGAAACTAGTTTGGAGTTTTAATAAATTAGTTATATAATAGAAGCTTTTGTATCATTATATATATTAAATTAATAAACTCACAAATTGCACTACCTTAGAAGGAAAAAAAAAAAAAAAAATCTAAAAAAAAATACTAAAGAAAAAAAGAAAGTAAATAAAAAATAATAAATATATACTTTTCATCAAAATGACAAAATACTAATTAAATTTATTTTGACAGACATAATGTATTTTGACAGATGTAATTAATTTATAGTAATTTTATAATAAATAGCGAATTGGTCTGTTTGCCAAAATATGATGTAATTAATTAGCAGAGAAGTATAAATAAACATAAAAAACAAATGGAATAGAAAAAAAAGGAAAATAAACAGAAAAAAAAGAGAAAAAAAAAAGACAAGAAAAAACAAAAAACAAAAAAAAAATAATATAAACAGATAGTGAAAATGATATAACTATAAATATTAGTTAGTTCAATTAAATTTATTATATAATGAAGTAAATAATTTATATAATTATATAAAATTTACTAATAAATTATTTGAATTAAATCATCTTAAGTTAAAATTAGTCTTATACTATAATTTTATAAATAATATTTATAAGACTTTTATATTTTTATAATTAAAATTCACTTTTATAGCAGAAATTTAAATATATAATAAATAGAATTTATTAATAAAATAATTAAAAATAAATTAAATAAATCTTCATATTTAACTAATATTACTAAAAAAAAATTTAAAGATTATTTAACCAATAATTAAAAAAAAAATAATATTAAACAAATATAAAATAAACTAATGAAATACTATTAACAGAAAGCTTAAATAATATTAAAATAATTTAGATACTATATAACAAAAATTTCAAAATGAAATATCTCAGTCATTAGTATTGTATTTACAGAAATGATAGTTGTCAAAATAGTAAAATTTGAAGCTAAAAAAGTTAATATAATTTTATACATTTGAAACCAGAATTTATTATAAAGTTTATACAAAGTCAGATTTGAGTTTTTTAATATTATTATTTAGAGTTCTATTAATAGTAATAAAATTCTATAAACATATATGATATTACAAATTTTTCAAAAATAATATAACCAAATGGTACAATCATTATATTAGCAACTAGTAGAATAACAAGTAAACTAAATAAAAAAAAGTATTATTTGCTTTTGTAATTGTGAATTGTATTTATTTAAAATAGGCAATAGCTATATTGGTTAAAATTATTGAAATAAAAGTAATCAAATATAATTCTTTACCTAAAATCTTGTTTTTAATTAGATTTAATGATCTTTATAATTTTTTAAAAAAACTGTTTGAACTTTGAATTTTGCAAAAAAAATTCAAAAAGAAAAGGGTTATATTTAAGTTGGTAGTTATTATTATTTAATTAGATATAGGAATGTATTCATTTTTGATATATACTGTATATATATATAATATATATAAAAATCAAGAGAAAATGTTAATATGAATATCAAATCTCTCAACTTACCATGTATTCTGAGGAGAAATCTTGTTTGTCACTCGGATCAAATATGTTTTGGTGATTTTATTTTTGCATCATTAACTATCTCATTACCGTATAGCAGTACCCTGGATACAAATCAAATTACCTTATTTAAAAAATTGAATCGTACCCGAAGGTACTTTGTATGGAACATGGAAAAATTGGCCAAAATTAGCCTAATTTTACCAGAATTAAAAATTATCCTCTACATATCATACTCGGGTATTATAAGAGGGGTACGCCAAAATGGGGGTCCCTGATACGGTATTGACAAAATTAGTAATTCATGCAACTATATTTAAATTTGCATTAGTTTCTAATTTTTCTAGTTGGAAAATTTTGAGAGTTTGATAATTCAGTTAAGTGATTTTGATTATTGGACGATGCTGACAAGCACATTTAGGTAACAATTTTTTTTTAAAGATCAAAATCTTCGAATTATGTGAATATGATTCTTTATTTTTATTCTTCATTGTCTGAATGATCTGATTGCTTCATCTGATCTTCAAACTTAAAGAGGATCATTTTTTATTGGATAATTAAATTAATAATTAAAACTCGTAAGATAACAAACAGGTTTAAATTTCAAATTATCCAAAAAAACTGTGACAAAGCGTCTATCGATAACTATACGTTTATGTATGATTCGAAATGATTTTTATTTGATAAATTAATTTTTAATTCGCCATTTGACCAAACAAATATTGCACTACTTACTTTAAATGTGTATTGATTTGAGACAGGTGAAAATTGGGAATTGGTGAAATTGAAAATTTATTAAGCGATTTGATTGGACGATACTATTAAAAATTCACCATAAAAGGTTAATTATAGGAGAATGGTCACACTTGTTAATAGTGATTATGAGGAACATATACGTTTCAAGATTTGAATGCGCGATTTAACATAATATGAAGTATAGAAAAAAAGCGTATAAATAAGCAACGTTAAAAAAAAAAAAATCAAAAAAATAAAATATTTTTAAAACAAAGATATAATCATGGCTACAAAAATTGGAATTAATGGGTAATTCTTACATGAATCATCTTAAACGACATCATTTGAATCATAATCACGTGTGGCGAATTTTTTTTTTTTTTTTTTAATGTATAGATTTGGAAGAATTGGACGTGTAGTTCTCCGTATTGCTCATGATTATCCTGATATCGAAGTCGTAGCTATCAATGATCCATTCATTGACCTTGACTATATGGTAAAGTTATCAACCTTGTGGCGCAGTCGCATAATTAAGAAAATAATCAATATATTCTTCGTATTAGGCTTATTTGTTTAAGTACGATTCTACATATGGACGATTTAAAGGGAATGTTGAAGTGAAAAATGGAGTATTGATTATTAATGGAAAAGAAATTAATGTGTTTGCCAAGAAAAATCCAGAAGAAATTCCTTGGAATCAAGTTGGGGTCAATATTGTTGTGGAATCTAGTGGCGCTTTTACTACCGCTGAAAAATCTTCTGCGCATCTTAAAGGTTAGTATAATAAGAGAAAGAAGATAAATAGATTAAATACATTTTTTGTTGACGGATATTTTGAAAAAAAAAAATATTTTTTTTATAGGGGTTTGTGTTGTCTTATACATAATTTACTTAATCATTCCAAGGAGAAGAATAGATTCGATTATTAACTTTTAAATTTCTTTTGTTTCAATAATTGAACAGGGTGCTGAAAAGGTAATAAAAATTAATGTATTCCGCGATTATTATTATATGATATTTTGCATTTTAATTCTTTTCTTCTAATATGTATAGGTTGTTATAACATCGCCAGCAGATTCTCCAATGTTTGTAGTCGGAGTTAATACAGATTTATATAAACCAGAATATAAAATTATTTCTAATGCATCATGTACAACAAACTGTTTATCACCATTGGCAAAAGTAATTCATGAAAACTTTGGTATTATAGAAGGATTAATGACGACTGTTCATGCTACTACAGCAACACAAAAAACTGTTGATGGACCTTCTGGAAAAGATTGGAGACGCGGTAGGGGTGCTTCACAAAATATCATACCAAGTTCAACTGGAGCAGCTAAAGCCGTTGGTAGGATCATTCCTGAATTAAATAAAAAATTAACTGGATTGGCTTTTAGAGTACCACCTACTATTGTTTCTGTTTTAGACCTAACTGTTAGATTGGAAAAAGAAACTAATTATGAAGAAATTAAAAAAGTTATTAAACATGCTTCAGAAAATGAATTAAAAGGTATACTTGGTTATACCGAAGATGAAGTCGTTTCTTCAGATTTTATTGGTAATTCTAATTCTTGTATTTTTGATGCTAATGCTGGTAAGTATTTCGCTTGGAAGGAAGAAAATTATAATAATTTCTTAACTAATACATTTCTTCTATTTTGATTTTGTTTTATTTTTTTTAGGAATTCAATTGAGTCCTACTTTCGTTAAACTTGTTGCTTGGTATGATAATGAATGTAAGTTAATTTTTCTTTTAAAAAAAGGAAATTCAATTCATATGAATATTATTTTATTTTATTACTAAAAGAATTCATATGAATATATATTAATGGTTTTTTTTTCATAATAGATGGATACTCTACACGTGTTCTCGATTTAATTACTTATATTATAAAAGCAGATAACGCCGCTTATTAAAATATTTTATATATTATGTAAAATAGGGGTATTTTTTTTATTATTATTTTTATTAATAATTATGAGTTTAAAGAAGTTAGAATAAAAATGATTATAAATATTTATTTATCATCTGTTTAAGTAAATTTATAATAGTATTATTTAACAATATACTTTAAACCCTAAATATTTGAATTTGCCTGAAATAGTAAATTTTAACAATTACAATATAAGCTCCTAATTTGTATGGTTTAGATTTATGTATAACAAAAAAAACATATGGGTCGTCATTTGCTTTTTGTATTCCGATTGAAAGTTTCATAGTATTAGGGAAAAAAATTCCGATGACCTGTTGTATGGAACAAACAATTTTGAAATGATTTCATTACATATAATATTACATGAACTTGAAACTCGTGTTACATAAACTTTCATGTAATTCGGTTATCATCTATGCACCTTCTAGTTTAATTTTCGCAATTAATTACTATTTCGAATATATTTAATTTACATTGTTTTTTTTTAAAAAAAAAAAAGCCTTTGTCATCAATATTAATATTTATCTTTAATTTTCACATGACTGATTTATCATTTTGTTGGGAAATAAATATAAACAAGCGAAAAAAGAAAACAAACGCCAAACGGCAGGGGATACATCATAAATAATTTATTATATTTAACACGTGTATACGTAAATTAGGAAAATATTTTTAGAAAAAAAACAAGTAAGAAAATAAGGAAAAGAAGTCAAAGTAATTATTTAATTTTTATTCGTTGGTTACCAAATATTGATTTCCATTCATGTAAAAAACAGTGGACACCTTGGACAAATAAGGAGTGGATGGATCGCATTCATTGCCACTAGAAATGTTGTGTGACTAGAAATGTACATATTACACGATGACTGACAAAATGTTTGCTTTTTGTGGCTTATGACACAATACATGCGAATTTTTTCGTATAAATATTCAATACTAAAAATTTATTTTTATTATATACTAGTTGAAAATTTCTTTCAAAGTTAATTATATTTACATTCCACTTTGTTACGAACAATAAAATCCATTTTCTCTTATTCATTCATTGCAACCATTTTTTCGTTCGATAAAGTTTTTTTTCTTTTCTTTTCTTCTCTTCTCTTCTCTTCTTTTTTTTAATAAAATTGGTAAGAGAAAACGAAAACGAGAGTGCGGTTTGGCTAAAGTTGACATTTAAAAAAATGGCTGATGTCGCTGATGTCAACATATCAAAATTTGTTCCTACTATCAAAAAAATACTTTTGGATTCCGATCTTAATGAAATTACTGCTAGGGATGTACGAATGAAACTTCAACAAGAATTTAAAGTAGATCTTACCCCTCGCAAGTTAGAAGTTCAACATCTTATTGACCGCTGTTATGATGATTTAGATATCGGCGTTGAAGAAATAGAAGAGCCTATAGAACCTAAAGTATCAAAAAAACAAAAAAAAATTAGTAATTCTGAAAAAAAATCGACTTTACATAATAAACCTTCAAAGAAGAGTTCTAGAGGTAGACCTCCTAAAAAAACTCGAGAATCTGATTATTCGTCCCTGGAGGACGATTCACCACCACAAAAAAAGAAGCGTGGTCGAAAACCAAAAAGTTCATCTGTAAAAGCAGAATCGTCTGATGCTGAATTTGAAAGAAAATTTGAGGAAGAATTATTGAATGAATCTAATGGAAAAAAATCAAAATCAAAAAATAATAGTACTTCTAAAAAGAAATCAAATAAACGCAAGAAGAGAGATGATGAAGAACAGGATGGTGAAGAACCAAAGAAAAGAAAAAAAGGAAACACTGGAATTCATAAGCCTTTGATATTAAGTTCAGTATTGGCAGAATTTTTACAAGCTGAAGAGGTAATTACACTTTACAAAAGTCTTCTTTTTTAAATATACATATGTATTTAAATCTGTTCATTTTAGATGTCAAGACTTGAAGTTGTTAAGCGCTTATGGGCATATATCAAAGAAAATGAGCTTCAGGATCCTAATGATAAGCGGTATATTGTTTGTGATGAAAGATTAATGACCATATTTCAACAAAATAGAATTCATAGTTTCACGATGAATAAATTTTTAACTGTTCATCTTAAAAAGAAAGAAGCTTTAGTAGATGCAGACGCGGATGCGGACGCAGAAGTAGACGTTAAAAGTATTAATGGAGAAGCTGCTAATCATTATGAAAATCGTAGTGTAGGCGAAGATAATGATCATGATGATGTATCAAGAGACGAGAATATTGATGATGATAAAGTTAAGATGGAGCCTCAAGAGAATTGGGCGGACGAAGATAATGAAGATGATGATGATGACGATTTGTTTGAAGAAGAAGAAGACTCTGAATGGGTAAAACAAGAAGACGACGATGACAAAAGTCAATAATGAATTTCGAAATGCCGAAAATTCTTTTATTATCTTGTCAAATGAAAGAAAAAATCAACATTTCTGCTCGCATTATAGTTTTAGGATTAAATTTTGAATATAACCAATTTTGATTACAACAAATACGGCGGCATTTGAAAAAAGTTTCTATACACAAGAATTAATTAAATCTTGTCAATCGAATGGCTTCGCTTTATTTTTTTTATATACAATTTATATTGTGATATATCTTTCATTTTTTTCTGTGTAGGATCAGAAATTATTTTTTTTTTGCGGATTACTAAATTGGCTTGTTAAACGCTAATATGTTTTACACTATTTTCCATATTTATGTATTATATTTTCTATACCAGTAGCTTTTTCATTATCCTTAATGGTTTTAAAAAGTATGAATTATTTGAATTATTTTCATGTATAACTACTAATTAACTAATTTTTTTTTTTATGGTATTCTTCATATCTTTATGTACTTCAGTATCAAATTTGGGTCTATGTTGAGTTATATATAGTTTCTTAAGTTTGAATTCTTAAGTATTATTGTTTAAAAAAGATTTTAACTCTATAAATATATTACTTTCAACAGATATAGAAATAAATTGTATATTTTATAAAGAAAAATAATATTTTGCCATGAAATATGAATTTAACAAATTATCTTTTAACAGATGATAAATTATTTTTATTAAATATGTATTTCTTAGCATCTTCCTTTAGAGATATTTGAATATGTACAGCAGAATTTTGTCTAATCTGAGATTCAAGGTCTTTGTCCTTATCATAAGAAATTAAATAAATAAAATGAATAAATTAAAAAATAAAGATAATAGAAGTAAAAAAAGAAAATCATACTATTACTTACATCATCATCCGGTATAATATCATCAACTAATTGTACTGTACTAGTAGTAGTTTTATAAATTATTTGATTATGAGTTAAATCATTTAAAGCTAATACTAAATTTATCGATCTTTGTATAGCTGCTCCTAATCCATGGATAGTTATTGAAGGATGTCTGTTAAAAATTTAAATTGTAATATTAATTTGATTAGAATTTATTAATGATCCAAATCGAAGGAAAAGTAAATAATTCTTTTTTTTTTCACCCGTCTTCCATTAAAAGTTTTTTAGCCCTAAATAATTGGCCTTTAAAGTTTGATTTACGAGAAACATAAATATCTGTTGGTATTGTTGCGGGATGTTGTGGCATTCTTTTTCGAATATCTAAATTTTTTTAAAGATAAAGATATATATAAAAAAAAAGGAACTGGAAATGAAACGTCAAATTCTATTATAATAATCACTTTTTTTTTGTATAGATCCCGAAGGTTTTTTAGATTCATTTTTTGTAGTTGATTTTTTTGTAGTTGTATTTTCCACTTTTGAGGTGAAAGTATCTTGTGGCTGTTCTTTAGAAACTTCGATTTTTTCATCTTGTTTTTGGTTTTTATATGGTTCAGACGATAAAGCTAAACCAACCCTTTTCTTTTTTGCTTTACCCATATTTTATAAAAGTTAAAAGTATAGACACAAATATAAATATATTATGCTCATCTACTCATCAGATGCATCAAATCTTTATTACCGATGCTCATGTAACACATGATTATGTATTACATAAGCACTACATAAGCTTTACACGCGTCTATAGTAGATACTAGATAATGCCTATTCAATTCAACTTTAAACGCGTTTTTAAAAAGTTGAAAGGTTCAGAATTTTTTATTCACGGAAGAATATTTTTATTTATTTAATAATCATGGTAAAGTAGTAAATAAATTCTTTCGTTCAAATGTTTTCTTTTTATATTAAAAAAAATTCTTTTTAGTCGAAGAAAGGTTTATCACTTGCTGAAAAACGTAAAAGACTTGAGGCTTTATTTCATGAAACGGTACATAAAAATCAATTCCATATACACATAATTTTTTTTTTTTTTTTAAAAAAAAAAATATACATATACAGAAAGAATTTTATCAACTTAAAGAGCTAGAAAGAGACGCGCCAAAAATGAAAGGAATCGGTAAGAATGCTTCATTCATTTATGAAAGACCTTTATTTAGTTATATCGGCTAATTGTGAATCTCCTTTTAAAAAAGTTACAAATACTGTTAAAGACGTGCTTCAAAGTTTAGTAGATGATAATCTTGTAAACACGGACAAGATTGGTACATCCAATTATTATTGGTCTTTTCCTAGTAGCGCTCTTCAATCGGTAAATTTTTATGATCATTTCTAATGTGTTTTTTTTTTTTTGAATTTGTATGATTAAATAGTCTTTTAGCGTAAAGCTAGAATCGAAGAGCTTATGCTAGAGCTCCAAAAATTGAAAGAAAAAAATGCCGAATTACAATCTAACATTGATGTAGCATATGACGGGCGTGAGAATTCGGTAACTATTTCATTCATTCATTCATATATCAATTTTTCATATACATCATTCAATTTGTCTTACTTTCTCAAGGACGATCGAGCCACGTTATTGAAAAAGGTAGCAGAACTAGAAGCAATTAACAAAAAACATCAGGAAAATTTGGCACTTTTTCGAGAATGTGATCCGGCACTTTTAGAGGCCAAGGGTATATATTTAAATTATACTGTTTTTAATACCTTTTAATAATGTTCAAATATTTTATATAGAAAATCACGCTAATCTTGCATTGGAGTGCGGTAATCGTTGGACAGGTAAAAAGAAAAATAAAATTTTGCCGTCTATTTTATTAAAAGGAAAACCATATAATATATAAATTATTTCCATTATTAGAAAATATCTTTCTAATCCAATCCTACTGTTTCAAAAAGTTCAATATTGAACGTGCCGATTTCAACCAACAATTTGGAATTCCCGAGGAATTCGATACATTGTAATAATTTGAAGTCGGACTGAATACTGAATACCCAGTGTATCATCCTTTATGATATTATACATCCATTTGTCTTGTAAATTTAAATATATCATTACTTATCATTACTGTTACATAATGTGGTAAATTGAAAATTTCCAAATTTTATCTATTTTTAATGTTCCTCAAATTCTTCTTCAATTAAAATATTTTCTTCATCTCTTGGCAAATTTCTGTAATTTCTTCCTCCATGTCTTCTTGGTTTAAATACAGGACATTGTGCCAATATTATTAAAATCATATCCTATTATTATAATATTATATTATTAAATAAAGAATATAATGGGAAATAACACAAGAAATGTCTCTCACTTACCTTTAAGAAATCAAATGCATTGCTCCAGAATTCCCAATTTGGAATTTGGTACATTCCAGTAGCATTATGAACCATTCGGTTATATATAATACCTCCAACAAAATATACAATTAATGCAATAACGAAACTAAAAAAAAATTAAAAATTATTGGATATATAACAACAATACGATGAATATATTAAATGTACTAACATTGTGAAAAAGACACCCCATCCCCCCTTACTAGCGTCTTTTTTATCGGTTGGGCAGGCAACAGGAGTTCTCCATTCAAAAAAGAATGCGCAATCTTGATAACTCGAAATAAATATCGGCTGCCCCTACACGTAATATACATAATATATATTAAATAAAAAAATATAAATTTGAACAAATAATTGTTAATAATTGATAAAAAATGCAATTTTCCTAATAAAATAATATAATTAAATAATCATATTTAAATAATGAATAAATAAAATTCTTACTTGACCCTCAACAGTTTTATCACAAATAAAGGAAACAACAGATGCACTTTTATAATTGGTTAATCCACACAGTTTGCCATTAGAAAACTCCATTACAAGTTTATCCCCTAATAGAATAATAAAAAAAAAAAATTATATATATTATTTCGAATATTTTAAATTTAATTTGATCTAAATTAAGTTTAATCTACCTCGGATTAAAGGGTTATTAGAAAGTTTACTTTACATAAAAATAAATTATTAGGATTAATTAAAGGATCTATTATAATAACTTAAATGAATAATTGGACTTTATTTACCCAATATTATGACTTTTTTCTAGAGTACGATTGTAGAGCTCTGGATTTATACCGTAAACACCTATATCTTCAAAGTTGCTTTCACTGTCTTTATCATCTCTGTATAAAACACCATGACAGACATTTATATAAAATGTCCATCCTGTTCCATATCCGTAAACAATCCAATCATTTCTTTAATAACAAAACAAAAAAAAAGAAAGATAATGAGTAAGATATATTAAAATTTATGATAAGCTTAAAGAAAGTTACCCTTCTGTTTTTTTCAAAGGACTTAAATCATAATATTTATTTGTTGTTTCGTTAGTAACAGTACAGGGTTGTGGATTTTCCTCGGCTTTTACAAAAAGACTTGTAGACAAAATAGTTAAACACAAGATTACAAAAGTAGTAAGGTGAGTAAAACGTAAAAACGTTTTACGAGGTTTTTTTGATAAATAAAATATCATAATTTATTTTATATTACTTTAAAAACGTACAAAGAAGAAAATTGTCAAATATGGTCGAGCGGAACAAAGAAAAAAGTGTTTGTCGGATAAATTGAACGAAAGATCCGTTCGAAACTATGATATTGTGAGAACCTCGAGTATTAGCGATCATTGATGGTTGATAAGAACACAACTGATCCTACGATAACGATTTTTGGGTTTGACCAATAAAAATGCCTGATCGCTGATCGGCCGTCTTTTTTATTCCAGACGCGAGAAAACTTAATTTATTCGTTATAATTCACGTTATTACATAAAGACAATTTTATGTAATTTTAATTCCTTAAATATAGATGCTTTGAATTTCAGATAAAGTTTTTTTTTCATCGGTTTTTTTCCAGTGCTTACGGCTATCTTCTTTCAATAAGATTATTTTGACCAACCAGAGAATTATGCGAAATTTGCCAAAAATATTTTAAAAAAAATAAATGTCAGTTTATCATAAACGTAAATTTACGATCATGATGCTCTCTAAAATAGGAATTTCTTATTTGGTTATACTTCTAATTCTAATATATAAATGATTCTTGATAAGAATAACAACCGATTTTCATGGCTTGTCCACGTGACTAATAATTCGAAGAAGCATTGTATTATCGTTGCCTCTTTTTTTCGGTTTTGTAATAATGATTATCTAATAAAAAAAGGCAATGTTAATACATATTAATCTAATTATTAGGTCAAATTTTATATTTAATTTATAATCGCTTCGTTTTTATCTTAAATTCGGTTTAATTCCCGAGTTGTAAATATAAAACTACAACTTATTATAGATAATAGAAAGTCATAGAAGCAACATAGCTTTATTTTGATGTTGATAATCTATAAATAATAATAGTTAAAACGACCAACCTGAAACATAACCATTTTTATAACTTTTTGTTAAAATGTCACTAAGAGATAATCTACAGCCAAAAATTTACAATATTGCTGAAAGAAGAAATTTCACTCCAAACATTACTGCAACGGATTATGAATCTTTTGCTTTTAACAAAGGAATACCAATTGTTATTGATAATGGTAAGTTTTATTCTGCTTTACATAAACGTTATATATTATTTAAAGTTAAAGGATTTATGGAATAAAAGAAAGTTATAAAGGTGGAACTTTTTGAGCTAATAAAAACTCATTCTAAAAATAATAGTTTTGAGGAAAGAATATTCTATGGATTGGTTTCTAACGGTTAATATTCTATTATAGGGTCATATCAATGTCGTGTGGGGTGGGCGAACGATGTTTCGCCAAGATGTAAGTTTGATCAATTATTCTAATTAATAATCAATTTTTTTTTCCTTTAAAAAAAAAATATTAAACATGTTTATATTTTGTTTTTTACCTTAAGTACAATTCGATAGCATGGTATCGAAATACAGGGATCGAAAAATTAATCAAAGTGTCTTGCTAGTAGGGAATGATATTTATACGGATGCTACAGCGAAATCCAATGCGAAAAGTGCATTTGATGGAAATGTGGTATATAATTTCGAAACTATGGTAAGAAATGTGAAAGATATACATATTGAATTTTTTATTTTCTATGTAATAATATTTTTTTGATGCAATTTGTTTAGGAATATATTTTAGATTACATTTTTTTCAAGCTTGGAATTAATACTGACAAGGTATATCACCCTGTATTGATGACCGAACCCGTGTGTAATCCAAATCATTCAAGAAGATGTAAGCGAAATTATATTCCTGTATTCAGAGTCAATGTATAAATTCAATAATTAATAAAGGCCCCATTTATTTTAGTGATGTCAGAATTATTATTTGAGAGTTATGATGTTCCATCAGTGTGTTATGGTATAGATGCGCTTTTCAGTTTTCACGCAAATAACCTTTCGTTTGACGAAGGTGGAATCGTTGCCTCATCTGGCCATACCACGACTCATGTAATACCAATAATTGGTCGTGGTGTGTTGGAGCATACTAAAAGGTATTATCGCTTTTCAAGAATTGTCTATTATAACTTTTTTCTAAGGAAATAAAATAAAAAATACTAGTAATATACTAATGTTAATTTGTCTTGAAACTTGAAATCAGGATATCATGTGGTGGATTGACATCTACTGATTATATGCTCAAATTGATGCAGCTCAAATATCCTACTTTTCCGACCAAAATGACCGTCAATCAAGCTCAAGTTAGTATCACTTTAAGCTAATGAATTACTAAGTTCGAATTTGTACTTTTAATCACTAGCGTTATATTAAATAGCTCTAACGAAAGATTTGGCTCTTATGTTACCGTAAATAGCATCTTGTGCATAGCTTTACCTATGTTGCACAAGATTATTTTAAAGAATTAAAAGAATACTCCAATACAAGTACTTTTCCATCAAAAGATCGTATAATTCAGTTCCCATATGTACCACCGGTAAGTGAAACTTAAAATGTGAACCTTTTTATTAGTTTCGCATATAATTAAATAGTTTATTATCGTATTTTAGGCAAATGAAAAAACAGAAGAAGAATTGGCTAGACAAGAAGAGAGAAGACAGGAACAGGCACGTCGTCTAAAAGAACAAGCAGCTAAATTACGTATACAAAAGGTAACTTCCGATATCTTCTTATGATTTAATCAATATTATCGGAAATTAAATATTTGACGTCTTTTTTTTTATTTTAGTTAAAAGACCTTGAAAATAATTTGGAAGCTTATGTTCAACTTAAAGAAAGCAGGTCATCAATGAAGAAATCAGAGTGGATTGTATTGTATCTTAAAATATAAATAAATTTAAATGTTAAGGGTGATAGATAAACTTGTTATTAATTATTAAAAATATTATTATTTAGACAAGACTAAAAGAAAACAGAATAAGCGATGAAGCGGAGTTGGATGAGATTATTTTGAAAACCGAAAAATCCGTTCAACGCGCAAGAAATAAATTGTTAGGTATTGACGAAGTGGAGATTAAGGTAAAATAAATTATATCCCAATAATTTAAATTTTGATATAAAATTTAATTCACTATTTTCTCTGTTATATAATTTTAGGAAGAACCTACTTTCCCGCTAGTTGATACACCAGATGATCAATTAAATGAAGCCGAAAGGAAGGAGAAAAAGAAACAAGTCGCGGCAAAGAGTCTTCATGAAACACGTCAAAGACAAAAGGAAGCTAAAGAATTGGCTAGACGACAGCAGGTTAATTTAAATTATTTTTCATATTGGTTTTGTTTGTTTAAATATTTTATGTAGTTTAATTTAATTTAGGAAGAAGAAGAGCGTGCAGAAGAACAAAGACGAATAAATGATTTTGAAGGGTGGTTAAATGAATTAAAGAATAGTTACGAGGTAATTTAAAATCCAATGTAATCTTTGTAGGTGTATAAAAGTTAATTATTTTAATTATTGATTCTATTTAGAGTCAATTAGAAAAAGTGAAAAGCTTGAAACGAAAAAAGGAACAGCTTTTGGATCGTAGAAGCCACGCCTCACAATTGCGAATGAAATCAATAGCTAATTTGGCGAGTGATACGCCGAATCAGAAAAGACGGAGAAGGGGACAAGATGGTAAAAGTTTTTTCTTATATTATCTTTGATAACACACTCACATTCTAATTATTTTACTTATTCAGAGGACACGTTTGGAATGGACGATAATGATTGGTCTATTTACAAGGAAATAGTAAGTATCTTTTAAGAAGTTTCCCGTTGGAAATCGATTTATATTAAAATTTTATACAATAGAGCAAAGAAGAGGATGCATGGGAAGAAGAAGAGGAATTATCACAATTAAGAGATTATGAACACAAGCTTCTTAGATACGATCCCGCATTTCTACCGGAGCATACATTTGACGCGAAAAATTCACAGCAAAATTCTCTCGTTTTTATGTTAACTCGAGGAGTCGTACCTGCATATGATCCAGAAAACTTTGGACAAATGCATCAATTACATGTTAATGTTGAAAGAATAAGAGTTCCTGAGGCTTTATTTCAACCTAGTATAATTGGATTAGATCAAGCTGGTGTGGTTGAAACCATTGGAGATATTGTTAACAGATTTGATTATGATGACCAGCGAAAAATGATCAAGGTAAAAAATAGTTTGAAATTTTCCTCTTTATGATGAATATATGTATTAAGGCTAATTTTATCTATTGTTAGTCCATATTTGTTACGGGTGGACATACACAGACACCAGGACTTTTACCTCGATTGGAAACTTCGCTTCGATCTATATTACCATCAGATGCGTCTTTAAGGATAATTCATGCTAGTGATCCAGTAATTGATGCATGGCGTGGTGCTGCATTATGGGCTAGAACGGAAGATTTTTATAAATATGCTGTAACTCGTCAAGAATATCAAGAATATGGTGGAGAATATTTAAAAGAGCATAGGTTTGGCAATGTTTATAGAATATAATTATAATTGTTCTTTCAATAAATTTGAAAGTTTAAAATTTGTTGATTTATGGCAAAAAAATTCGGTTTACTAATAGTCAAATAGACTAAAAATTTCGCATAAAACTTATGATCCAGTTTAAATAATTACGTATTGAATATTATTTATCAACATATTATTTTAAATATATTAAATTCTTAATTGGTAATAATAGGAATTTATTTATAAGAAGCAAATATAATCATTATTAAAAATTATTCAAATTAAATTTAACCTTTTTTCCCATATTTTTTTTTTTCTTATTTTTCACACTTGGTTTTCCATCATCATCATCATCATCATCATTCTTGGCAGCCTCTTTTTGTAATTTCTCTAATTCCAACGATTCCTTTCTACAAATGATAATAGTTTTTGGTTTTTTGGATAAAATTTCATCATTAGAATTTTTGCTCTTTCCTTTCTGATAACCTAAAGTTCTTCTATGTTCATAACCAGGATATTGATCTGGTATAAAATCAATTGATTCCTTAATTGCTAATTGACCTGTTGATTTAGCCAATTGTTTTATATTCCATTGATTATATGGTTCAACTGTTTTCATTGTTACATGTATTTCGCCATCATTTATATCTGAATAAAGAGACTTTGATGATAAAAATGGTATAGCCGAATTAAAAAATGCTTGCAATAATTTTTGATTTGATAATATATTTCTATCTTGATCTTTTATTCCCAATCCTATTATAATTAAACACAAAGGTTTATTTTATTAATACATACAAAACATACAAAGTGTACAAGGCAAAAAAATATATTAAATAAAATACTTTACCCGCATGAGGAAAATTGAATACGATTTTATCAAATCTTTTGTCCTTTAATAATTTACATTTTTCTAATTGTGTGGCATCAACCTCATAAATTATTTGACCACCATATTCAGTAAAAGATTTTATATGATCTTTTGCATCTTCATATTTCTTATTTAAAGTTTTCTTAGAATCTAAACACGTCGCTGTAATAAAATGACCTGTTTGAAGAATATTTTTAGCTAATGAATGTGCAAAACTAAAATTTCCTATTAAAAAAAAACAATAATTGTTAATGAAGAATAATCAAGGATATCAACTTCCAAACATAATGTTATTTTTTACCTTCTCCTAACAACAATATTTTATCTTCAGGTTTATACGGTGGTGGTGGTGGTGGTTTAATAAAAGTTGTTTTATTCTTATTTTTTGGTTTTGAATATGGAGTTGATGATAATGAATTTATTTTATCTCGATATTTTTTCTCTTGCTGAAGTTTTAATAATGAAGTTTTTAATTTAGGTTTAACTTTTGGCATGATTTAACATAATTATCGAGAAGAAAAAAAAGGCGAGATTTTGATATTTGTTATCAATGTTACACAGTTATTCATTATCACATGAACAAATAATTTTTATTACAAGTTCAAATTCTATGATTACATAAATTGCAGATACTATAACAAGAGTACAAAAATCGCAAAAAATACTCGTAATAAATTCTGTATCAATCGTCAATCCTCGACATTAGAATTACGTTTTTTGAAGATCACTACTTTTTAAAAGAACGATATTTTGGTTTCTTGGCTTGTTCGACACTCAAGACAATACCGTTTACCATTATAGCACCTTCGCTTATAGCATTATGATACGCGGTTGGAGAAGAGAAATTCGCAAAAGCACAAGACTTTGTAACGATAAAAAAAAGTAAAAGTTTGTTATCTTGTAAATCTAAGTTAAAGATAAAAAAAAATGATAAATTAATTTATACCTTCCCGGGAATAAAATCAATATTATTAACCGGACCAAATGACTTTTCAAGACATTGCTTCAATGATCCTTTATCTACTTCGTCCGTCAAAGGTCCAATATAAGTACGATAATAGCTTCGATTAACTAATAAATTAAAAGATCATTAAAAACAAATGAATAATGAAAGCTCGCTTTGAGTTAAAAAAAAAATTCACATTTTTCACGAGCAGCTAATACGGTTCCGCTATCAGTAGTATCAATAGTTGCGGTAATCTTTTGACCATGAGAAAAATCCTGAATAAGATCGTTTTGGAATTGAACGATTTTTTGATACTTTGCAATAATTGCTTCTTTTTGCTCAAGTTGAGCTCTATAAGAAATACATTTAAAACAGGGTACTTCTGCGGTAGAGGTGGACATATCGGTTACGATTCGAAAGAGAATATAGGTTTACTGAAGAAAAAGGAAGATACTTTTCGTTCGTATTTTTAATTTTTTTACGAAAATGAAAGTTCTTTCAGTGAGCAAACGAAAAAAAAAAAATGAAAGAGGTGATTGGATTGAATCAATGAGAGATCTCATTATATGAAAATCATTATATAAAATTGTTTTCGTTAAATAAGAGGCTCAAATGATGATGATGTATGTTTTTAACTATATAACTAGTAATTCAAAACATCATTAGTTATCTAAATGAGTAATGGATAAAAAATTGTGATATTACGGTAGAACAAAATTATGATAATTTCGAATCATTATATAATTCTTAATAATTCTTTGGATAATTAAGTAGACGAAATTAATCTTGTGATATGTATGTAGTTTAACATGTCATAATCGCGTAAAAGCTTTGGCGCATATGTCACATGTCACATGAAACGAACTTAATTTAATTTATGGTAATACAAAAAATCCCCGTTTATGTAAATTACCGTTTAGCACAAAGATTTTTTTATATTTAACGAATCAAAATGAACTCGATTTTTTCCGAGAATTCTAACGTCCCACGTATAGTAATATTCTAATGAAATAACAAAATAACAAATCTGTATTAATAAAGTATTTTTGTGTGTACTACCAACACGGCACAAAAAATAGACTTATAAGATTAAATCCGCCCATTGAATAATTGAGATTATGATCGTCAAGAATAGGAATTCCTTTTACCAAGAAATAAAAATAGCCAAGATTTCCGAGAGATTAATCTAGAAATCACAAACAATTCGATTTAACTTATTTTGTATTGATCATTTGTAGTTTGTGTTCATTTGATTGTTGCTAATTATAGATGATTCACAAATAATTATTTACTCATTGTAAATCCATATAAAGGAACCGTGATTCATTTTTTTAATAAAGAAAATTTTTTTTCTTATAAAAAATTTAATTTTACGAATAAAATTCTTTTTTGAAAAATTTAATGAAATAAATAAAACCAATTTTTTTTTTTAAAGAAAATTTAACATATAGTTTTTTTCGCATAATTTTTTTTAAAAATAATAATAATAATAATAGTAAGATAAAATATAAAATATGGCAGGGTACGGACAAGGACAAGGACAAGGAGGAGGATACCCTCCTCCACCGATGGGAGGATATCCACAATATAATTATCCACCTCAACCGACCCCGACTTTTCCTAATAATGCCAATGCACAATCTCCCTTATATGCACCTCAAGATTCTTCTACATCTTATAATTCTTATTTAAATAATATGATGCCAACACCACAACATAATCAAACAAGTTCTTCTACTTCATCGGAATTTCAACCCACTCAATCACCTTCAACTGCTTCATTACAAACAAATTCGCAAAGTAATTCAGGTCAAATTAATATAGATATATCAGAAAAAATCGCACCTGCATCGACAATACATTATGGGGAAGCTCCAAAAATTCAGCCACGTCGTTATAAACAACAAAAAGTTACATTGTCTGATGGGCATTTTATTTATGATTGTCCCGTATCTACTAAATTAACAAAAGAAGTTCCTCTTAGAGGCGAAGAAGAATTTGATAAAGTTAGATATACTGCTTGTACATGCGATCCTGATGATTTTCAAAAAGAAAAATACTTACTTAGACAACAAATTTATGGTAGAGAACAAATTGAAATATTTATAGTTATTACAATGTATAATGAAGAAGCAAAATTATTTGCTCGTACATTTTATGGAGTTGTGAAAAACATTCACGAATTATGTAAACGAGAAAGATCCCGGCTATGGGGAAAAGATGGGTGGAAAAAAGTAGTTGTATGTGTCGTATCAGATGGATTTGAAGAAATTGATAAAACTACAAAAGCTTACTTATCAGCTATAGGAGCATATCAAGAAGGTGTCGTAAAAAAAGAAGTAAACAAAAAACCTGTAACTGCACACATTTTTGAATATACAACTCAGCTATGTCTTGATCCAGATATGAAACCAGTGGGCGAAAAAGTTGGATTTACACCTATTCAAGTTTTATTTTGTCTTAAAGAAGAAAATACAAAGAAAATTAATTCTCATAGATGGTTCTTTAATGCTTTTGGTAGAAATTTAAAACCAAACGTTTGTATTTTGTTAGATGCTGGTACAAAGCCTGGTAAAAACTCTATTTATCATTTATGGAAAGCTTTTGATACAAATCCTTATATTGGAGGCGCCTGTGGTGAAATTGTTGCGATGAAAGGAAAGCATGGAAAAAATTTACTAAATCCTCTTGTAGCTGCTCAAAATTTTGAATATAAAATGTCAAATATTTTAGATAAACCTTTAGAATCCGTTTTTGGTTATATTACTGTATTACCCGGTGCTTTTTCTGCTTATCGTTACAGAGCTTTGCAGAATCAAAAAGACCCAGATACAAATAAAGAAGTTGGTCCATTAGCTTCTTATTTCTTGGGCGAAAAACTTCATGCTCAAAAGTTAATTGGTCCTGATGGAAAAATTAAAGATGAAGAAATAAAAACCGGTTTATTTGAGGCGAATATGTATTTAGCAGAAGATCGTATTCTTTGTTTTGAATTAATTTCAAAGAAAGGAGATCATCCTTGGTTATTACATTATGTTAAATCAGCTTCCGCCGAAACTGATGTACCTGATAATATAGTTGAATTAATTAAACAACGTCGTCGTTGGTTAAATGGTAGTTTTTTTGCTAGTCTCTACTCCATTTCCCATACTTCTCATATTTGGGGAAGCCCTCATAGTGTTTGGAGGAAAATTGCATTATTAATTGAAATGCTTTATCAAACTTATAATGTAGCCTTTTCCTGGTTCGCATTGGTAAGTTGAATATATGATAATATAATTAAGATTTATTATTATAGTAATAACTAACCTAACTTTATTATAGGGAAATATTTATTTAACGTTTCATATTTTGGGAAACTCGCTTGCTACAGATGCAGTTGCTGTCGAAGGTCTTTGGAGTTTAACAGTTGGATCCGTAATATTTAATATTTTAAGATATATGTATATTGCATTAATTATTTTCCAATTCGCATTAGCTTTGGGTAATAAACCAAAAAGGTAAATTATCTTCATTCTTTATTACATGCTTATACTCTCGTATTATTTTATATATATATATATATTTTAACACTAAATATATTTAATTGAAACTTTTATAGCGCAAGATGGGCTTACATATTCTCTACTGTGTTTTTTGCGTTTTTAATGTTTTATATGTTATTTGCGGCGGTATGGATAACTTATAAAGGAATTAAAGCTTCGCAAACACCTGACTTTAGTACCGTAAATGGCTTTGGTAATATTCTCAAAGATTCTACTTTTAGAGATATTGTAATGTCGTTAATAAGTACCTATGGATTATACTTTCTTGCTAGTTTCTTATTTTTTGAGCCATATCATATGTTTCATAGTTTTGCGCAATATATGTTGCTAGTACCTTTTTATATTAATGTTTTAAATGTTTACGCTTTTTGTAATATTCATGATGTTAGGTAAGTCAAGAGAAATGAGAATTTTTTTTTTTAAAAATGTTAAATTATAATAATAATTAATATCATTTTTATTTTCTTCTTTTTTAGTTGGGGAACAAAAGGAGATCCCAAGAAAAAAGTACACGATGAAAAAGAGAAAGTCGATGTAAAAGAAGGGGGGCAAAGCGCTACAGTAGCTATGCCAGAAAATATTGATGATGAATATGAAAGAATACAAGATTTGTTAGACCCAAAAAAACAAGAGGATTTAAAAAGACAAGAAAAATTAAGACAAGAAGAGAAAGCTAGAAATAAAGAATATACTAAAGAAGAATTAAAGGAAATACAACAAAAATTAGAAGAAGCGCAAAAAGAATCAAATGCGATGTTTAGGACATACGTTGTCTTCTCCTGGATGGTTTCAAATATTATTTTAATTGCTCTTATAACTAATTTTAGTCCCTCCATAGACTCCTTTAGTCCAGATCAAAAGGGCAACATTTATTTTGCTATAATACTTTGGAGTGTTGCTATTTTAGCAGCTATTAGATTCTTTGGTAGTTGTATTTATTTAATACTTAGATTATTCACTGAAAGATTATTTGATAATCTTATTAAATAAGATCTATTTATAAATTTTAAGTTTTTATTCTAATATTGTATTTTTAATAAATTTTGTAACTAAAAGATGCGTTTAATTTTTTACTTGGTACAGATTTCATGTTATGTTTTTACATGCAGGTTATTAATTTGTTATATCGAATTAATAAAGTAATATGTATTGATGCCTATCACTTGTATAAGACAATCTGAAAATTTTATTTATTTATTTATATTATATAACCTATTTTTATAATTATAATGTTTGCCGCGTATCCATGAAAAATTAGTCTGAAATTCTCTTTTTCAGCCAGATGGCACCCCTAATTAAAACGTGATTCGGCTGATTCGCGCAATTTAGTGAAATCGCGTATAAGAGTCCGATAATGACGCGGAGGAATTTAGATTCTATTATGAAAAGTTTGTGGTCCTGTGATTCGCATGCCGATCCTGAACCGTTTATGCGAAGACTTGGATGTTATATAAACAGCTAAAGATGAAACACTCATATTCATTTTGCAGTAGTGATACAGTTTCAAAAAGCGCACAAGGACTTGGCTTTTCCGTTTTTCCCTTAAGATGGGTTGTATACGTTTAACGATGATTTTTGGCTATACGAGCACGAAAATTTTTTACATCATTAGGAAATAAAATCATTGATTATCATGTGATATGGGGTGATATGAGTGATATCTTTTATTATTTGTATCGCTTAATATTAAATTATTTACATACCACAGACCAATAGAACCAATATAATAATTTCACGTGATTTATTTAACCTATTTACTCTCTTTTTCGCAGACTTGAATAATATTTTTCACATCATTTTCTACTTTATTTTAGCTGCAAAATGATTGATTCGGGTCGATTGTTCATAATAGGAGTGACCTTATTAATAAGTTTTCTAGCATATACTTCCCAAATTTTCGTATTTTGGGATTTTTTAGGAGGATTGAATATAGAATGCTTGAAAATATTAATACCGTTTAATATAAGTGTGATATTGATTTTTTGGAACTATTATTTAACATGTACTACAGACCCTGGTAGAGTGCCTGCAGACTGGGTAAGATATTGAAATAAAATTATACTCGAAAAAGTTATTATTATTTATTATTAAATTCTTTTTTTGTTCATAATATTATGTAGTATCCGAAGGAGAATCAAGAAAATATTGAATTAAAACGATCAACTCGTGCCCCAAGATATTGCAAAACGTGTTCCGCATACAAACCACCGAGGTCGCATCACTGTAGTACGTGTAGAAGGTAAATAACATGAATAATAAAATTTTAATATTTCTTAACAAATATTTATAATTTTTGTCTTTGCGAAAAAATTTTCTTTAGATGCGTATTAAAAATGGATCATCACTGTAAGTATCTTTTTTTTAATTTTTGATTTGTTCTTAACTAGAAATTATATTTATTTATTATATTGATTTTATAGGTCCATGGACTAATAATTGCGTAGGACACTATAATTATGGGCATTTCATTAGATTTGTGTTTTGGGTTGATGTAGCATGTACATACCATTTGATATTATTAATTAAAAGAACTGCAAAGATGGTTCAAGATATATCTTATTATAGGGTAAATTTATCGGTTATTTATTAAGTTTTGTTTACATAAATGATTAAAAATTGACATTTATCTTTTGATTAGTATGAACCTACAACATTAGAAATGATATTTATAATATTAAATTACGCAGCAGTTATACCAGTATTACTTTCCGTTGGTATTTTAAGTTTATATCATTTTTATTGTATGCTATTTAACACTACTACAATTGAAAATTGGGAAAAAGATAAAGTATCGACTATGGTCAGAAAAGGAAAAATCAAGCAGGTAATTAATCCAATTAATCCATGTTTTTGTTAACATTATTTTATTATTTTTTATAAAAGAAAATTTTCTTTTTTATTAGGTTATATTTCCTTATGATATAGGAGTTTATAAGAATATACGATCTGTACTTGGTTATAATCCATTATTATGGTGCCTTCCGCAACAAATGGACGGAACTGGATTGTCATATCCTATAGCGAAAGATTCAGGTAATAACGAAGATAATGATTTAGATTTGGACTTCATAGTGTAATATATAAAAATATTTATTAAATAAAAAATAATTCACTTTATTAAAAAGAGATGAATTATTATTTGAATTATACTTTGCCACGTGTATGAGTGAGTAATAATAATTTTTTTGGAGAAGAGGAAGTATTAATTTAGGACTTGATATTCTAAATCATGAAAAATTATAAAAATTTATATTAAAACTTTTCTTTCAAAATAAATAATTTTTGCAGATCCAACATTAATATGGCCACCAAAGGATCCAACATTGTCACTACCATCAAATTCAACAAAACCATGGGACAAATATAATATAAGTAAAGATGAATATAAGCTGTTTGTCAAGAATTCATTATTAGATTACGAAAGTAAGAAGAGAAAAAATTCTAATTCGGGAAGAAAAAGTGATAGCAGTGATATTATAATACAGGATGATGGAAATTATAACTATTCACGAAGAAAAGTTAGAAGAGATAGTGAAGGGTATATTGTTAAAGATATCGCTTTTGAAGAAAAAGGATACCATTATTATGGAGATAAAGAGTTGAATAGTGATGGTAGTGTTATTTATCCTAGTAGCGATGAATATTCTAATAATATTAGTGATAATGATGAATATATTGATAATAATGAATATATTGATAATAATGGACATATTGATGAGAATTATTATATAGAAAATTTCAGGGAAAAAGGCAATAATGATGATTATTATTTGAAAAACATTAATAATAATTATAATAGAAAACAATATCAAAGTAAAATGTATTCTAATAGCGGAGAAAATGAAGATGATGACAATTTGCCCATTGGGTTAATGATTGCTAAAAAACAATTAGAAGCCATGAATATTAAGTCTAATTATCAGGTAGATAATAATGTTGTAGCGTATACAATTAATGATAGTGTAGTAAGTGATAAAAAGGATAATTAATTAGTTTTATTAGGTTTATATTTATTTATTTTATTTATTTTTAATATATTTACTTATTTAAATTAACTATTTATGTATACTGGTTATATATATATATTATTTAATATAAAAGAAAATTTTTATTACTTTTAATAAAAATATCATTATAAAAAGAATATTATTTTTTATTTACTCTCAGAAGCAGCAGTATACTTTATTTAAGAAAAAGTATTTTATGTATAATATAAAACTTTTCTATATAAATCAGCCAGCAAATATTTCCTATTTATTTTTTAAAAAATTATAGCAAATATATTAATTAAAATTTATATTTTAAAATTTATAGAGATAAATTTAAAAATCAATTAAAAATTTAAAAAATTTAAAAAATACTGTAGCATATTATAATGTTTTTATATTATTATTTTTTTAATTAAAATATAAATAAAACATTATTATATAAATATCATAAGTCCCGTGCGTTTCAAACATTATCAAAGATCGCTCAAGTGGTAATTATATTAGGGTAGTTTTAATAAAATTGCAAATGCGCTGCGAAAAAAAAAAATATATATATAAATATCTAATATTTTTAATATATTATTTAAAATTGAATATTACATATCAATATTTCTAATTGATATAACAAAAAAATAGAATGAATATATATATTTTTAAATATATTTAATGTATTTTATTGAAGTAATATTAGAATATTACTAAATGTGATTTAATATAATATAAATTAATAAATTATTTTTAACTAAGATATGAAATTTATAGAATAAGTATATTTTAGCCTCTCTTCAAGTTTACTTAAGAAGTAAAAGTGGATTTTAAATAGTATTTTTGACTTTACTTATAAATGAATGAATTTTCTGAAATGGTTAAACAAAAATGAAAACTTAATTCCGTCTAAGAAGTAATAAAACTGGGGGGAATTTAAAAAACAATCAAAAGCGTTGTCTTATGATCCAGTAATTGTATTTCGATGAACTTTTTTCCTCTTTAAAATAAAAAAGATATTCGAAATCCAATCACTGGATCACGAATAATCGCCAAACTATTTTTTCGGGGGATGAGTAGATTCCACATTTGGAATCTGCCTACCCCGAAAAAATATATTTTGGCGACTATCTCACGATCTACTGATCCGATTTTTTTTTTTATTTTAAAGAGGACACCGAGAGCTACAAAACAAAAAAAAATTCATCGAATCCAATTATTGCATCATAAGATAACGCTTTTAATTGTTTTTTAAAATTCTCCTCCAATTTTATATAGTGATCTTCTCTACTTCTTAGGCGGATCACGAATTAAGTAAATTTGCAAAATAAGCTATATAGATATTTTTCGTAAATATGAGAGAGCAAAGAAATAACTTGATGCTGTGACTCGCATTAAATGGCCTAGAATCCGCGTACTCTCCCCCTCTTTGATAGCATCACTTATTTCTTTAAATTTATCACTCAGCTGCCTAATAATAAAGATTCATTGTATGGATGATTTGAATGACAAGGGCTGCAACTACCAAGAAATAACTTGGATAATCACTGATCATAACTTCATCGCCAGAACCTGGCGACGCAAACAGCTGTTAGTTACAAGTAACTCATAACTTCATCGCCAGAGCCTGGCCGACACGAAGCTATAGCTTCTCCTAAGGCACAAGGGAAGTTCTCACCGCCGCAGCTCGGCCGACGTGAGAACTTCAGCATAGTTACATTACCCAAAATACTGGCAATCGAATTTTTCAGCAGTTCAGTTGTAACCCGTATTATAAGAAACTACCGTACACAGGGTATTACTAATCATGTGATATATAATCGCGACAGACGCGACATTTTATTAAGGTATATATATTACGTCATATCAACGATAATCGAATGACATGTATAAATGGACCATCAGAAATCATTTTTTATAATTTACTAACTTTTGACTTGTAACGTTTTAAGAACACGTTAAAGTTAAATAATTATGACTGCGACGTTAAGATCGAATGTCCACTCACGTTTTTTGGCACCTGCTTCTTTAAGTGTTAACGATTATTTTAAGAAAACGAATGCCCAGGACTGGAAGCTTAAACATTATCTAAATTATCGTTTGGAGAACGAAAATATAATTCCAACATGGACCGCTGTTTATAACGATTGGGTTGATTCACTCAACACAATCATAAAGCTAATTCATAAAAAATTATCAAAGAATGAGAATCGATCCTAGAATGTTGTAAGGGGTGGTACCATAACTTCTACGATCGTTACTGTGAACTACAACTTTGCGAGAGAGTCAAGCACATCGAGGAAAAAATATACTCCTATCCGATCTGCTAGAGACGACAAATAAGAAGAGATCACAGGAAGACAATTATGACAATGAAGCAGGCCCATCAAATGAAAAACGTAGTCGGCATGAGGTGCATCAACACACTGTTTGATATGATATTGAGTATCAACGCCACTTTATTTCTAACTCACCTTTATTATATTACTAGGATTCATCATATGAAGGAACATATCAAGACGAACCATAAACACCAGAATATCTATTCGAGGTATCAGTTTATATTTATTCTATCTCATTTTATTTTTTAGCACGAAAACGTGTTATTCAAATTGATTCACGAACCCTTTAGATATATGATCAGGATGAAGAGATAAAAGTGATGGATGCTAGGTAAGAATAGAATGCACATAGCCGCAATAATATATGTAGTTTGTAATAACGTTATCTCATTCTCTTTTTTAAGTTCGGCTGAATAGGAATTCAACTATCCAATTCATGATTGGTTGAATAAAGTAATCAAAGAACAAAAAACAATGACGTCGGAAATAAACTCTAATATTGCTTCAAAGTAAGTGATCAATGACAAGCTAATTGATATTGATAGTAAAGCTAACTTGTTCTTTGTGCAGGCCACTTTTATGGCGAATAATAGACCTATCCTATTCTGAGGTTGCTCCCTCAACATTATCCCAAAGTGATCAGGAAGGAATTCGTACATTAATCTCATTTGCCCTCCAGATAGGACAAACCAATGAGTTTACAGTGCTAGCGCCATCAGCAGAAAGATGTTTGAGATCATTAGCAAAGATAAACATACTAGAATTTACAAGAAATGCCTGTTTTAGTTTGTCATCATTGTTCTAATTTGGCCCTTAGTTAACGACAAAGCAACTGAAAAAGATTGCAAAAATTGTTAAACCGAATGGGATACATGGTACAGTTCTTGAGATCAGAAACATTCTCACGTCCAGCGAAGTTGAAGAATCAAGACCTTTTCTAATTGTTGACGAGGGCGAAAGTCTATTTCAATAAAAGTTAAAACGAGTCCAAAACTCTATAATAACAAATAAACTTATCAGATATTGGCCAGCTTTCGTACTTGAAAGGCACGTAACAACAAAGTTGCGAAAAGTCGCTTATGCGCGTCCAATAAGAATTTTATACGGGAAGAAGATTACCTAAATAAAGATGTATCATACATTCTTGAATTACTCCGCTACACGTAAGTTTAATTTAAATCCTTAATGGACGTCTCAAATTAAACTGACTTATACGCCCTTTCTTGTTATAGTATGAGATGATTGATATGGGAATTCCTCTACGTCATAATTCTGAAAGAGATATCGACGTTTTCATTAAATCAACTATTTTCTCTTGCTTTAACGGCATTGTGGATAGGCACTTGTAGTGGAGAAACCGTACCTCGAGCTTCACGTGATCGGCGAAAGAAAGCTATGAATGCTTCTTCTGATGCGGAAGGTTACCACCTTGATTGGTTGTCCTATAAAGGTTGGACTACCTTTTGATCGTATTGGAATGGTATTGTAGGACCACTACCAACTACTTTACAAGGGAACAAATATATTGTTGTTGCAACTGAATATCTAACTAAATGGCCTGAAGCACGTGCTCTCTCAAATGTTAAAGCAACATCAGTGGTTTTACGGTATACATACCGAAAGTTTTGAGGCTTTTTATTGTTATCAAGTGATTGCTGATAAAAAGTTCATTCACAGCGTCACGATCTTGCAAAGGATATGACATGGGGTCGCGAGTTTTCTCTATGCGAACGTGCTGGATCAAAAATCGAAAATAATAGGAAGATTCTAGATAATACTCTTAAAGTTTAGAAAACGCTCAAAGATATGCATAAGATTCTTATTGATACAATTGTCTTGACAAGCGGTGGAGCAATTTCGAGAGAGATTCTTGACATCATTCCAAAAAAAATGCTCATGCCTGGTTTTTGTCATCAAGATTTTTCATTCGTATGATTCCCATAATATATGTTGGTGCCGGGTTCTACCTCTCGGCTGAGCTTGCGGAATTTGATATCCCGACAACCAGTGTTGTCAAATGACACTGAAATGACATTGAAATGACATCAAATGATATTAAATGACATCGATTTTACTATGAAAAAGTATGAGGAATGACAAATGTCATTTGAAAAATGGGCAAATGACATGGCAATTTAACAACACTGCCAACAACTTATGAGGAACTGGGGGGAATTTTGAAAATGGCGCGCGTCATGCTGCAAGCCAAGGTAAGTCAATAGTTTCTAATTTCCTGGTTTTGCTTAAACTTGTACTTATATTAATTCTTTGGTACAGAAAATGTTATACTCCACGGTTACTCTTTTCGCTTCAACAAAGGAACGTGCAGAAAGGGAGAAGTTTTTACCGGGAAAGGTGCTATTGCCAGACCGACCTAAGAAATTTTCATCGCCAACGAAGTCCAAAAACAAAAAGGTGCCGTTAAAAAATTAATTGTGAGCGGATATGATGTGTAAGATAAAGAGATTATTTGTGAGTTGTAAGCCAGAGGTTTATTTCAACAAAATATATAGGAAATCTGTTTACATAAAATGTATAGCTATTTTATAATATAAAATTGTAGGTCATTTAATAAACAAAATTTATAAACTTTATTTTAACCACCGAATCTTGTTACCATCGCAGCTACAGTGCACATTGGAGACAGGTACCCTTTTTTGTGACAGGTTCGTGGCTTGACAAGCCGCATGCGCCACAAACATTTGGCCAGAATTAAAGACGTTTAAATTAGCCAATCGGAAAACGTGAATTATGCGGATAATTAATTTTAAATTAAAGGAATATTTATGATAAAGTGTATAAATTAATAAATGTAAAATTTTAATTAAATAAATAATAATTATCTTTATTGTATAATTAATAAAGCATATAATATGGCAATTTAATGAAGTAAAATATTGAATTAAAAAATGTAAACTATTTTATTTAGATATCTCAAAAATACACAAATAAAATGAAATTTAATTCAGCTAGTTTCTGAGAATATTTTTACTCAAATTGTATTCTTTTTTACCAGTTTTCCTTGAATAATTTGTGGATCTAAATTTTTTTTTTCACCAGTGTTGTTAAATTGCCATATCATTTGCCCATTTTTCAAATGACATTTGTCATTTCTCATACTTTTTCATAGTAAAATCAATGTTATTTAATATCATTTGATGTCATTTCAGTGTCATTTGACAACACTGTAATTTCCACTAGCTTGCTTAATACTACTTGATCCTTTTGATCTACATTTTAGTTAATATTGTAAAGGAAGAAACATATATATAGGTGAGAAACTGATTTCAATTTTGAGGCATGGTAATGCTTGGCAAATTTGTCTAATACAATACAAGCAGACCACAACTTTTATAATCTGCTTTAATTTCTTTCAAAAAAACAACTAAAGTAGATGTAATTATAGTAAGTAATTGAGTTTAATTAATAATTCATTGCAATTTATTTTCATTATATAATTCCATTCACTGAATCTGAAGTTATAAAAAAAGTCCTACATGTAATAAAGTATAAAAGAACTATTCTTTGCAATGTAACAAAAAAAAATAAAAAATTATTTGATAATCATTGTAATAAATATTAAAAACAATGAAATCTATTTATCAAATGCAATATAAAAATTGATTATAAATTAATAATAGTAAAAAATTAAATGAAATTTTACAGATATAGCTTTTTAATATTTGTACAGTATGCCTATTATTCCAATAGGATAACTACATATTACAATAGTAGTATTTATAATATAAAAATTTATTATGCAGCCAAATAGGATCATGTATTTTTAACATACTGATATTTTTTAGATAAACTATTATTGCGTAAATATCTTTGATATTTTTGACACATTACGTCATATAGATTATTATCACACATTTACTATGCTTTTCATATGGAACATGATCTTAAACGTCAGCATAATAACACAGTTATTAGGTAGGGGGGTTAAAATATCATCCAAACTGCTTCGCAGTTCGGTGATATTTCAACTCCCCTACACAATAACTATTATATATTATATCTTTTATACTTAAAACTATTAAAAAAAATATTTATATAAAATTCTAAATTTTATGTAACTTCTGTAACTGATCTAATAAAATCCAAAAAAGGCATTTTTATCTGTGTAATTATACTTGTTATGAAGGTGTAAAGATTAATTCTTGCCTTTGAAAAAATATTTGAATAATAAAAATTTGTGAAAATAAGATACAAAAAAAAATCAGGAAATATCATTATAGCAAAAAAATAAAAAATCCTTTATTAATATTTATAATAAAAATCCTACAAAAGTAAACTCAAATATACAAAAAAAAAGACAACTATCATACATTAAGTTTATTAAATCCAAAACCTGATTTTTTTTAATTAAATGGGGTCTTTGCAATAAAATGTACGAAACTCAAAAAAAATTTTAATTTTACTTTATATGCTAATTATGTTTTTTTTTATTAAAATAAATGCAAATTTAATATTAATTCAATTTTTAATTTTTTTTGAGTTTCGTACCTTTCTATTGCAAAGACCCCAAATAATAAAAATCTTAAATTAAAAATATATATATATTATTTTCATTATCATTATTAAAATCTTTATATTTTTATATTCTAATATTTACACCTAATAAAAATAATAATAATGCTTCTAGTATACCATTCACATCCATTTTTTACAAAAAATAAATACATTTTTTATTTATTTATTTAATAAGAAACTAGTATTTTAATATTAAAGCAAAGTATTTCTTGGTTAAAATAATATACTTTTTATTATCATTTTTTTACATTATTAAAGGTTCATAAAAATTTATTCTTCTTTACAGAAATATTTTTCATCTTTTGTAAAGTTTTCTTTAAAAAAAAACATAAATACAGTAATATTAAACTAAAGCTCTAAATGGTTTAAATTGGTTCAGGTTGAAAGTAATCCAAGATCAAGCTGAAAAATCAGTCCAGTTCAGTTTATGTTAAAAAGATAATTTAGGATTAGACTAGACCAGACCAATTATTTTAATCCAGTCCAGTCCAATCCTATAATAAAAATTAAAAAATATGCGAAAATATTTTTTAATTATAATCACAATATTTATGTTAAATTAATTAAAATAATATTGCAAAATATTTTTTAATTAAAATTATTTTGAAAAAATGTTTTGTCATTAAATTAATTATAGAAATGTTGCAAAAACATTTTTTTTATTTTTATAATAATATATTAAAAAAAACATTTTGCAATATTTTTTTATTTAATAATTAAACAATTACAGTCAAATCTTGATATAGCAAACCCTTGATATAGTGAATTTTTCAGACAACTATAATAAATTTTTCCTTGCTATAATGAATTAACCAATCAAATCTTTTAAAATCTTCACTATAATCTTATAGCGAAGTTGAAGTCTGAACCTTAGATAGGGTTCGTTATAACAAGAGTTGACTGTACAATGGTTTTAATATATAACTATTGTGAAATAATTATTCAGTCCAGTTTAATCTTAACCTGTTTAATTCAGTTCAGATTAGATTTATAATCTAAAACTAAATTAGATCAGACTGAATATTTCAGTTTAAGTTAAAGCATCAACTCAGACTGAACTAATTTGAATTTTCAGTTCAAATTGTTAGATTAGAATTGAACTGATTAAAGCTTTACATTAAACTGATAATTCTAGCAGTTTTATTTATAAAAATAAAAAAAATGTCAAAACTGATAGTTCTGATATTTTTATATGAAAAAATATTGATATGACTTGTATAAAAAAAGTATATAACTTATAATTAACCAATAATATTTACTCTAATTTACATATAATATAAATAATTACATATTTTTAAAAAATCTGATAATTAATTATTAGAATTATGAATTATATATTTATATGAAAATAGAAAATTATCAGGTCATATATAGTTAGGTAGTATCCAGTTATAATGAACAGAAGAAAAAAAAGAGTTTTTAAGTTGCTTTATTTAATATTCTAGATTTGATATTAACAGTTTTTCTTTATTCTAATAATAAATTCTATTATTTATTCTTACTGGCAATATAAGACTATAAAGCTTTTAAGGTTATTAATACTGAAGACAAAAAGCATAAACTTGTAATCTATCTTGAATGATAGAAGGATTTAAATTATTTTACAGGTAAAACTTTTAAGATTAATGGTCAAATTTATGATTAGTGTTATTACATTTCCTTAAATTTAATAAGAAATCCAAGTTAATTTCAAAGAATAATGATAAGAAAAGTTTCAAAAAATTTTCTTAGAAAAGTTTTTACCTATAAAGTTATAGGTACTAATAGGACTTTTCTAAATATCCAAAAGTGGCAACCAAAAAAGATAACAAAAGTAGATCTTTCAATTAAAATCACAAATTTAAATCTAAAACTAAAAATAAGAATAAGAAAAAGAAGACTTCTAAAATCTTTAAATGAAAACTATATTAGAAAATAATTGAATTGAAGAAGATGTTAAGAAGATAGTAATGAATAGAATTGCCATATAAAAAGTTATTTTCTTTTTTTTATTTATTTTATTTTTATAATTGCTTTTAGAATTTTTTATTATTAATTAGGTCTTTTTCTTTATAGAATTTTTTTGTTACTAAAGGTTTATTAACTTCTTATACTCTTTTTTTTCTTTAGTATTCTTATATTTTAATAGAATAAAGAATATTTAATTAGGATCCTGCTTACTTATAATAAAGATCACTGTAAAAAATTGGCCTTTTACTAATGATTTTTACCTTACTTTTTTCTTGGTTAATTAGCTAAAAAGAAAAAAAAATCATAAAAATTTCCTTTTATAGTAGAATCTGTAAAGAATTTTATATATAATTTTTACCTTAGACCTGAAGGTAACCTATCTTATAATAATATTTCTTTAATAAAATATGACAACTTAATTTTTTTTTACTTTTTAGTATTTTTAAAAAAATTTAAATTGATTGTTTTACTATTACTGTTTTTTTTATTATATTATTCAAATTTAAAAGAATAATAAAATCAATTATATAACCAAAATTTAATTAATTATCAGATAAGTTATAAGTATTCATTTTAACTTTATTTTTTAATATTTTTTATATTAGAAATAATTAAAATTATTATATACAGTAAGTATATGTGATTTATGATTTAATATTATTAGCATCCTACACATTTTACAAAAAAAAATAACATGAAATGTTAGTGTAAAAAAATTTTTTTTAGTCTTTTATATAAGAATGATTAAACTATTGTAAATTTGAACTCTTTTATAATCAATAACAGTAACATTTTTTTAAAATAATCAACGTTTTATTAGTTAAATTCTATACTTATATAATTAGAATTTATTTTCTTTATATCTTTCTTTATTATAATTGATGTTTAGAAATACGATAATTACTTGTAAACTAATTTGTGGGATAACGTTTATGATGTAAGATTAATCTGTTATAATAATTTTTAATGGGGGGGATTGCATCACCGAAATTGGAAAACTTTTTGAAAATAAAATGTCAGGACAAAATCTCATAATGTATGATTAATCTGATCTCATTTAATTATAATAATTTTTAGTGGGGGAATTGCATCACCGAAATTGGAAAACTTTTTGAAAATAAAATGTCAGTCATATCATTATTAAAAGGAATAAATTTAGATAAAAACGTTTATGATGTATGATTAATCTGATCTCATTTTAATTATAATAATTTATAGTGGGGGGAATTTTTAAAAATAAAATGTGGGACAAAAATCTCATATCATCTTTAAAAGGAATGAATTTTAGATAAAGATTTGCAGACTATATAGAAACTTTTTGTTAAAAATATCACACTTTTAATATTTTCATTTTGGATTAGCATATATTGTTATTAAATAATTGTTTCATTAGAATGAAATTAAAAATAGTATGATGTACGTTGGATCTGACAATCTGACATGACAGAAGATTCTATGTTTCATCTTTTTTTACTGTAGATGAATAAAGTAAAGGAAATGACAGATAAGGGCCGGGTGATTTGGATTAACAGGTTTCAAGAGAGATGAATTAATGATCTTTACTTAAAAAAGATATTTAGTACTATTAATTCGATAAACATGATGATTAAAATGATCACTAATCGTAGTTATTTCCGAGTCAATTTCCGATTATAACATCCGACGAGTCATTTCCCATTGTCTAAATTTTTTCATATGTAATTCATAAATATTCTTTTTTATTTTAATTCAACAAATTTGGCAGAAATTTGATGATAGATGAATGAATTTATTAAAAAAAAATAAGGATTGGCTTAAATTACATATGCATTTTAATTCTTAATCCCGAAAAACATCTGGTAATTGTTTTGATTATCAACATTCTTAACTTCTTTTTTTACCATATTTTAATTTCATTTTGAAAATTTTTTACTAATAATGCAGGATGCACACGTATTATGATTGTACAATGTAACAATGAAAACATTGTAAATCTTCACGTCACATTTTTTCATAAAATCATTTTCAAAAGACAAAGTATAACAAAAAAAAGAAGAACAAAATAGAATAAATTAATTATAAAAAAAAAAAAAAGAATTGTTTTATAAATTTTCAATGAATATTGTTTTTTTCTTTGTATGGGAAGTATTAATGACACTAAAAAATAAAAATATAATATACTGTATATATATACACAATTTTTATTGATGATAAACATTAACTGGTTAAATAAGACCTATTATGGAAAAAATATGATGAATATTGTACATTAAATATTTATGATTTGTACTCTCTCAAAGTTAAAAAGAAAAAAAAAAAAGAAAATCTTTTGATTAACAAGAAGTGTGAGAAAGGTGAGGGGGAAGGGCTAGTATCATTTAAAGAAAATTGTGGCTAGAAAGATGAAAAAATGGAAAAGAAGTAAAAAAAAAATGAAAAAAAAAAAGGAAAAAAAAAATGAAACTTTTAGGGATTTGAAGATTTACAATATAAGATTTATTGAATCATATACATATACCATACGTACATACATTTGGATATCTATCACATTAAATAAGTACATTAATGGATATTACAGTGAGTAATTTTTAGGTTTATTAGATAGATATACAGTACAGTAAAAAAAGTAATATATATGAAATTTTTTTAGTATTAAAGTTAATTACGATATTTTTATTCAGGTAAATGTAACCCTCGTGTAAAGAAAATGTATCAAAAAAAAGAGATTGAATTACAATTTTTACTTCTAAACAAAGAATTTTTTATTTATAATCAATCTTTTATAATTCAGTTACACGACCACAAGTCCACAACAACCACAACTTGTGTTTGTAAAAAAAAAAAACTTTATTATTTTATTATTTTTTTTTTTTTTAAAAAGAATTATTATTGTTATTATTATTTGGGGGAATTTGGAAAGTAAATTTTAAAACTTGATGATTTTTTTTTTTTGGTGAATTAAAATTTATTTATAGAATGAATGGAGGAATGGAGATAGGAAGGAAAATCCGACGAATTAAATTATGATAATTGATGATTGTTAACTTTTTATTTTTTTTTTTTATGTAATCTTTTATAATTTTTTTTTTTTTTTTTAAAAAAAAGACGTCGAGTACGACGTTTTTAATTAAAAAAAAACTTTATTATTTTTTTTTTTAATGAAAAGACATTGGTTAATTAAAAAAAATCTTTTTTTATTTTTTTTATTACCTTATTGCTGGACATTTTTTGTTGAGCATATTCAGATTGTGTTAATATTTCGTCGTCATTTTCTTTATTTGATTCTTTTTCTGGCCTTTTATTTTCAGGCAAGTCTTTAGCAAAAACCTATTAAAATAATAAAACAAATTGTTGAATAATGACCAAACAAATTAAAAGATTGAATTAACTAACTTTATTGGATGCTTTTTGTTGAGTACGTTCAAACTGCCGATTTTCTCGTCTTTTCTTTTTTGCTGAACTATGATATTCTCCTGAAACAACAAAATATGTTTTTGATTATCAAGTCAAGCTAAAAAATTCAAAAAAATATATATTCTTTTTTTGTGGAACATTTACTTACGTCTATTATTGATAATTCCACGTGCCATTTCTTTAATAGCCCAATTGTTTGCAGTTTTTGGAAAGGAAGGGTTTTTTGCTTTGAACTAATAATTGATTATTATAAATAAATAAACCTTAACACACTCCAACNTTTTTTTCACAATCTTCACATCTAAGGAATTATTTTCCATCTTATCCATCCATTTCGGTTATAAAAAATTTCATGATAAAATGAAATAATAATAATATTATTATTATATTATTATAATTAATATTACTATTGGATATTCATTCAAATTATCAAAGTTTTTTAGAACAAAGAATATTGAGTCTTTTGATATGCTGCAATCATATGATGCTTTTTTTTTAAATGCATGTAATCAATCAAAAGGAAATAAATATCATGGGAAGGAAGAGAAAAAAAAAAAAATTTAATACTTTTTTAGGTTGAAATATAAAAAGAAATTATACTGTACATGAACAAAGCCACGAAAGAAGGGTCTTACAATAAATTATTATGCACTAGAAATCTATGATATCTCTTTTATATATATATATATATATATACGTTTTAAGTAGTCTATATTAAATAAACTTGTGGATTACGTTATTCCGCATAATTTTACCTGCGTATTATGATACTTGTAACATCCCGTGATCATTAATTTGTGACGTTACTCAAAACTTTTTTTTTTGGGCTCAAGTTGTAAGAAAAACCTTGTAAGAAAGATAATCAAAAAGGTGGGAAATTTTTTAAAATCGATGCAAAGTATATCAAAAAAAATTAAAGAGTATTAAATATGCAGTACTCCGGCTACTTTGGATACTTTTGACTACTCATGAATACTTACAATCAATCTATATAAAAGGCTTCGGATAGTTTTCATAATTTTCTAAATTTATATTCATTTATTGGAAGTTGAAACAATAATTGTAATAATAGTAACCTTTCGAACTTGATTGTTTGACTTGATTGATAACGGAAAAAATATATATCATGATAAGGGAAATGATAGGTCATCTGATCTATATTCACACGTTTTTCCTGCACAACATTAATCAATTGACGAATTGGTTCACTTTTCAAATGATGGTTTAATAATTATAACACCTTGTAACACAGAATATTTCGTCCTAACTATTTATATTTTACCGAATCAGTAAACTAAAGATGATCCGTGCTCTTCTTCCCTCCTTTTGTTATAATGCTAAACTTATTAAGGATTTTAAATTTATTTCTAATAATTTTTGTTTGTGATATCATAATTCGTCTTAATTTACCCTTTTTTTTTTTTTCATAGTTTTCGTGTAATCCTTATCAGGTAACTTGCGATTTTTATCACGGGCGTAATGTATAAGAATAAGGTTCTTTTACGCGCCAATATATTTTCGAAACTTTATCTCTAATGTAATTATTTATTTGGTTGGGGATTATTGCACACACATACAATTTTTAACACATCATGCATAATTTAATTATATCCTAACAGTATAAAGGTTCATTTATTAGTGAAATGTACAAGAAAGTAAATTTTAAATGAAAATATAAAAAAATTAAAATAATAACCGTTGAAAGAAAATCTTTGCTTTGTATTTAATTCATTCTTTTTGTATATATAAGTAAAAATAAAATAAAAATAATAATATAAATATATATGTATTTATTTATTGACTTTTTGAAAAAAATAAAAATAAAAAATTTTATTTATATTTTTCGATATAATTAGCATTTATTTATTTTGATGATTTTTATACCAAGATTACCAATTAATCCCCCCTTTCCATAGAAAAAAAAATAAAAAAAAAAAATAATTTGTTTTTATTATTGTTTTTATTATTATTTATTATTATTTAAAAAGAAAGAAAAAAAAAATATATATATATTTTATATTTATTCGTTTAATAAAACTTTTCATTGAGACCATTTTTTTTTAATGTATGTATAATAATAAATTGTTATGGGTTTAAGGACAATAATAAAGTCCATAGTATTCGGTTAGAAAATAACATATCAAGTAATACTTTTTTTTGTTGGCCTGTTACATTTTTTTTTTTGAACGCCAAATCCGAAAGCATTTTATACCATCCACACCCCCCCTGTAGGACGACATCCTTTATTATTGAATGAATATAAATGTAAAGAATGATTATGATGATATTCCATATATGCAATGGTAATATAAACCAACAATCCGGTTTAAGTTGATTTTAGTGTACATTTTATGTTATAGTTATCTTGTACTGTAAATATATAAATAATTATTTTTATATTACATATTACATATTATGCTTTTTTTCAAATAAAAGGACAAGTTCATACGGTGATCCCTTACTGGCCAAGTAGGCTTTGTCTTTTCTCTTGCCGCTTTCTTAAATTTTTTTTTTAAAAAAAAAAATTCTATATATATATATAATTTATCCCCTCAGTAGAACTGAGCTGTTGTTTATGAAGTAAGAGTATATATATATATCTATTACTCTCTCAACTTCTCTTACTTGTCCGCCGTACTCTCTCCTAATTTGTCGGGAAAAATTATAGTTCTAATGGGAAACGCTCCTCGGCAGAACCCACAGAAATAGAAAGGGAAAAAATCAAAAAAAAAAGAAAAAAAAAAAAAAAAAACGTTTCGTTAAAAATGAAATACAAAAAAAATCGGAACGTTAGCCAACGTTTCGATTAAGAAAAATAAAAAAAAAATGTATTTTCGAAACGTTAAAAAACGTTTCGTTAAAAAAAATGAAAAATAAAAAAATCGGAACGTTAGACAACGTTCCGATTAAAGAAGTTAAAAAAAAAAGAATAAATGAAACGTTTTTCAACGTTTCGTTAAAAAAGTAAAATAAAAAAATAATCGGAACGCCAACGTTCCGATTAAAAAAATTAAAAAAAATTGTTTCGGAACGTTAAAAAACTGTCTCTTATACACATCTAGATGTGTATAAGAGACAGGGTTTGGACTTCGCNCCAATTCGGTTTCCCCTTATTACTTCTTTTTTAATATTTATTCTTTAGCCTATTCGTTGTGGATAATAGATATTCCCAAATTACTCACAATTATCTCAATATTTCAAAACTCTTGCCTTTTATTTATTTATTTTATTATATATATATACATATATATATTTATTTATATATATATATATTAAAACAAGAAGATTCGGGTTTTATTATCTCCTGCAGTTGCACATGCTCTCCGATTTTTCTATACATTAACATAGCCATACGAAACAAGAAAAAAAATTTTTTTTATAAAAGAGAGTAACTTTCACCAAAAATGGCTCTGGTTCAACAACATACCGTGAACGATTCTACAGTTTTTGTATCTTATCAAGATTCTTCTGATATAACTTTTCAAAAGAACATGGCTCACATAAACGTTCGAAGAAATGACCCTCGTCTGGATTCTGCTATTTGTATGCCTTCGGCTAAGAAGTCGACTGCTGTTTACACTCCTCCATACAAGAAGAATGAGAGTTTGGAAAGATGGGTTGATAATTTGTTAAAGGAATTGGACCATATCATGTCGACAAATTTGAATATTGATCCTACTCAAAATAATAGTCAAAGAGTAAAAGAGGTAACGTAATCATTATTTCGTTAGTCATGTGACTTTTAAACTTATATCATCTTTCATATATTCATATATAAATATATATATAAAAATATATATTATTTTTATTTTCTTTTATTTTTTTATATTATAGTTAATCAAGAAAATAGATGAACGTTTAAGTAATACATTAGAACATACCGATGAAAATATTCGTGATGTTTGTATTTTTCACTTCTTAAACACTTTCTTCATTATCTTTTTTTACTCAATCAATTATTATTATAATAGTTTGTACTCGAAAAGAAAGATGAATGTGAATTATTACTTAAAAATGTAAGTATTTATTTTAATATTTAATAAACGAATGCATGTAATCTTCGTAGTATTTACATAAATGCCATCATCAATGAAAAATTAGGAAACTCAAAGTGATGACTCAACAATCGAAATATCATCAGAAGATATGAATATGGAGAACACACTTTCTGTTGACAAGTTGCATGAAAAGTTATTAGAGGTATTTATAAATCAAAAGTTTTTAAATATCTTACAATGCTTTTTCTTTCTTTACAAAATACTTATATTACTTTACCGTTATTATAGTGCAACATGAAACCTGTACAAGATAAAAAGAATCCAATAAAGCGTGCTGGTACTTTTTTAAGTAAGGTTGCAAAATCAGCAAAGAAACATGCAGACAGAGGTATCAAATTATCACAAAAAGTAGATAAAACAACAAAATTTGAACAGGAAGCTAAAAAAAGAATTGCAGCTGCTCGTTTAAAGGGAGGAAATTCATCAACTAGTATTGGTACAGTTGAAAGAAAATCAAAATATGAACGATTACTTAATGGTCGTTACCTTATTGATAAAAAAGACAGTATTGGTGAAGGACATCATGGAAAAGTAATAAAGGGTATATATAAAATTTTATAATCAAATCATTTGAATGTTTTGGATGTTTGGATAATTCTAATGTTTTATATTACAATTCAGGTATTGATCTTGAAACAAAACAACGTGTTGCTGTTAAATGTTTGAAAAAACAATTCACTTGTTCAGTAGGTAAGATACAATATGCTGATGCAAAACAGAAAAAGAAAAATCTAGAAATAATACATGAAGGAAGAATGATGTTACAAATGCAAGAATTGGTACGTAATTACTAAATTTTAAAAGTTTTTAAACCGAAATTATATGAGCTAACCCAAATTCCCAAATTGTTTTTATAGCCAAATCTAGTTCCATTATTGGATCTTGTTGAGACATCAAAAAAGGTATACTATATTATGCCATTAGCAAATAAAGATTTAAGCGATGTTATATATCGACGACGAATGACTGAGCCTTGCGCGCGTGTATTATTGAAACAAATATTTGAAGCTGTCAAATCATTACACGATTCGGGATTTGTTCATCGTGACATTAAACCTGAGAACATTATGTTATATCAAGGTGGATGTGCAAAACTTGGTGATTTTGGACTTTCAACAGAATTTGGATATCACTCCGGATTACAAGTTGTAGGAACTCCAGCATTTGCCGCCCCTGAAGTTCTTGGTCAATTTCATCGAACTGATAAATTAGGATGGCTTAATTATAAACGTGCCGATTTATGGTCATTAGGAGCAACATTATATGTTTGGTAATTATTAATTAATTTTTAATTAGTTATTTTTTTTCTTTATATAAGTTTATTTTAATTAACTAAATTTATTGTATATAGTCTCGCTGGACGATATCCATTTGATGATCAAAGTCCAGTATCTGAACAAGCTGCAGCTGGAATACCATTTCCTGAAAAAAGATTCAAACACTGTTCACCAGAAGCAATCGATCTTATCAAAAAACTTATGGTTGTTGACCCAATTAAACGAGTTTCAATCGATGATGCATTGAACCATCCTTTCTTCACTAACCCATAATTTGTGTTAATAATCAATTGAGAAAAAAATTTTATTTCATTTAATTATTTTTTTTTTCCACTTACATATTTCTTGACACAATTAGTGCATTAGTGCGCATACACAAAAGTATTTATATATATATATATATTATTATTATTTTGGAGGAATTATTTTTTAGTCTAGTTTAAAAAAAAATTTTGATGGACATTGTTTTCGAAGAAACGATTTTTCAGATAATTCAGACAACGCTGAAGTTGCTGGTTCTGGTGATTTATTGAATGGGAGCTGCATCGGTCTTTGACCAATATAGTTATTAGTTATTACCACATACAATAATCATTAGTCAACTTTCTTGAAAAAAAAAAATATACTTTAAATTGTTTCTTCATTTAATATTTTATTTAGTGGTAGGTTGCACAATTAGTTTGTTTTTTCCCGCTTCAACTATTTTCTTTTGTAATTAATTTTTTTATAGTGTCTTTTTCATTCTAAACAATTTCTTTACGTTAGCTGGCCTGACGTATCAAGAACAAAACAAAAAATCGATGGGTTACCAAAATTAATTCGTGCACAGCCCAGTATATATTTTATCGAAAAAATTCTTTTTTTTTTTTT